GTAATCAAATATGTACAATATTCTAACTACAATTAATTATAATAAAAAACAATAAATTGTTGTAAAATAATTATATTATATAATACGTTTATAGATAATCGCTGTAATTAATTAGGTTTTGCAACATTTGAGCGTATACAACTGGAAAATGTGTGTCTCAAATGGTGTTAATTTTTATCACAAAATGAATATGTTAGAAAGTAATACAAATATTATGTAAAAAGGTAACACAAAAAATATAAACTTTGACACAATTTGGGAGCAATTGTTTTTTCAATAATATTAACACAATATGTTAAACTATTATATAATACATACTTTATATTCTTCACTTATCTTAGAATTTAAAATCACATTTTTATATTATTTCCCTTACATTTTTTACATTATATTAGCTCACAGGTTAAATGTTATTTCTTCATAAATCGTGTTATTAAAAAATGTTAAATCTCAATTTTACATAACATATTCAAATAATATAATCACACTATGTTAAATTCGAACACGGAAAAAGCAATAGGATAGAGCGGGGCTAGTTGTGACACTTTTTCTTTAAATTATTATATTATAAATCTTCACATAATTATGATAGATTAATGGTAAATGCTTTAAAATGTTGCATGTTCATCTGGTTCAATAATTAAATACTTATAAATCCTTAATATATCTCGTAAATAAGAAAAAAATTACGTTAATTACAAGAATGCAAAGTGGACCAATATACCCCATCTATGGGACATGTTGAGCATCCTCGAAGGATAAGTTGAGCCATGAAGATAACCGTTTAATGAGGTTATGTATCATTAAAAACATGAAAGGATGGATTATGTGTATATTAATCAAATTTTTATTATTTGCATCTTAAATATAATAATTTGTAATATTCTTTCTTTTTAAATGTTTTAATTAACAAAATTAGAAAAACTAAAATCTTTACTCTTTATTATAATAATTAACGTAAAATATATGTTTAATCGTTGACATAGAATAAAAAGCATTGATATACAGGGTGTCTCAAAAAAACGGATTGAAACACAATGAGGACGTAGATTGGATTAAGGGGAACAAAACAGTTTTGTACCATTTTGCAGTTGACGCAATATTTAACGAGATATTAACGTTTAAAGATAGGCGAATACAAGCGTCCGACCA